CAAGAAATTGCTTTGGCTATAACTTTTTTTTTTTTTTACTTTTCTTTTATATGTACTAACATTACAAGAAATGCTATTTAATGACTGAGTTATCGATCACCGTTTCAATCCTACTATAATAATAAGCATCCCTGAAAAATGGCATTGGTAAAACATATCTGTAATAATGGCTCCAGGAAAAAAACAAATCTGGCGCTAACAATAAGGCAAAATGGGGAAAAATGCGTCGTTTTTTTCCGAAAAGAAATATATATGCACAAAAAAATCCACATTTTTATCAGTGCCATCATTACTGGACACCTTCTTTTCTTTCTTTCTTTGTTTGAAGTTAAGCACAAAACTACAGAAGGGACTATCTGTACTCTGCCCACCCGGGTATCGAAACCCGGTTTCTGACGTTGTAAGTCCACAGACATACCGCTGTATCCATCCTTCTAACACTCAAATAAGCTTTGTGAGAAAATTCTATTCAGAATGTTTGTATTGGTGAAAATATTCTTCCTGAAGCGCCTCCTCGGTAAATCTGAGGGCTTATGACGCAAACAAATTTGTGTTTCGATACCCGCGGTGTGCAGAGCACAGACAACCCATTGTGTAGCTTGGTGCTTAAGGACAAACAAAGAAACCTTCCTAGAAAAACACAAAAACGCTATGAAAGAAGCAGAATCACTCACTAATTTGTTCGTGAGCGGGTACAAAAAACTGCGAATAAACATACGACAATGATTTAAACAATAATTAATTTAGATTCTTTGAAGAGAAGGTTTTCTTCTGCAGCGTTTACTAATTTTTTTCCATTTCTTTTTATTCAGAGAATAAAATGTTAATTTTGGGGAAAAACAACTACATGTCAGTACGGCTCATTGTTTAAAATATTTAACGTTCACAAATGATTTCAATAAATTCGTAAGGTTTGCAATTACGCACCTACACCCACAAAAGTAAACACCATTGCTAAACCTGAGGCCAGACGTATACGAGTTGCAGATATCAATAATGATAGATTACAAAATAAAACATGTCTAGACCTATTAGATTTGCACTGTGATACAATTAATGTTAACAGGATATTTTAATCTCTGCTTCTAGACATATTTTATTAGATTTGCACCTGTGATACAATTAATGTTAACAGGATATTTTAATCTCTTCTGTTAGGCATATTTTATTAGATTTGCACCTGTGATACAATTAATGTTAACAGGATATTTTAATCTCTTCTGTTAGGCATGTTTTATTAGATTTGCACTGTGATACAATTAATGTTAACAACATATTTTAATCGCTTCTGTTAGGCATGTTTTGTTAGATTTGCACTGTCATGCAATTAATGTTAGCAGGATATTTTAATCTCTTCTGTTAGACATATTTTATTAGATTTGCTCTGTGATACAATTAATGTTAACAGGATATTTTAATTTCTTCTGTTAGACATATTTTATTAGACTTGCTCTGTGATACAATTAATGTTAACAAGATATTTTAATATCTTCTGTTTGGCATGTTTTATTTGATTTGCACTGTCACACAATTAATGTTAACAGGATATTTGAATCTCTTCTGTTAGGGATGTTTTCTTAGATTTGCTCTGTGATACAAATAATGTTAACAAGATATTTTAATCTCCTCTGTTAGGCATATTTTCTTAGATTTGCTCTGTGATACAATTAAAGTTAACAGTATATTTTAATCTCTTCTGTTAGGCATGTTTTATTAGATTTGCACTGTGATACAATTAAAGTTAACAGTATATTTTAATCTCTGCTGTTAGACATATATTATTGGATTTGCACTGTGATACAATTAATGTTAACAAGATATTAGAATCTATTCTGTTAAACATATTTTATTTAGTACTCTGAGGTACATAAGTTTTACAGTAAGTTAAACGTAGATCCTAATTTGTTGAATATAATTTTTCATTGGTATTATTGACAAAAAAAAACAAGAAAGGGATAAGGATAAGCAGTTGGTAATCGATTCAGGACTTTCACTTTGTAAAGTTAATCTTTATCCGTTTGTCTGTTGTCGAACATACTTACAGCGCTAAAATCCGTGGTTTTATTTCCGCGTTGGGCATAGCAGATAGCCCAATGCTCTAAAACAAACTAGCTTTCCATTGTCTCAATGATAAATCCGAAGGTTTATAACACTCAAAACTGGGTTTCCATACAAGTCGTGGGCACAACATAGACAGCCCATTGTGTAGCTTTGTGTTTAATAACAGACATCTTCCTCTTTTCAGTTCTTCATCTAGGATACACATTATACGGATCTTCATCGTTCTCAATTTTCCATCGAAGTCCATGTACGGAATTTTTATTTGAAATATAAAGTTTATAAGAAGCAAGGTGATTGAGTTTGTGTGATCTTTGTTTAAAAAAAAGAAAATTAAATATCAGCTCAAAATATGTTTTTTAGCATAATCAACCATTTTCAGAAAAATTCCCTTCACTATCTAAATAATGTTAGTTTTAAGTATCGTGGTATTAAAGATTATCATACTAACAAAAAAACGGAACAGCTGAAACTGTGAACAAAGCCAAAAACAACAACAAACGATTTCATTTTAAAATGTACCTGAATTTTCAGATGTACGAGTACAAGAATGGATGTTTATGCAAGGTCCAGGCCCAACCATCACCATCTGTCTGTCTTATGTCTACTTTGTTAAAGTACTCGGACCCCTTCTGATGAAGAACCGAGAACCCTATAACTTACGCTGGGTCATGGTGCTATACAATTTCTTTATGGTTTATGCAAGCATCTACTTATTTCTTAAGGTAAGAGAAGAATGAGCATTTATGAACTTGCAATGTTAAAAAAATATATATTTCCAGCCCATTCAATATGTTTAACCATTAAAATACAATTAAATGTTTGAGAATTTTTTACAAAGTATCGTTTTTTGATTTTAAAAATAACGTAAACTGCAACTGCTGTTTTTTTTTTGCACATTTCTCTTAATTTGTCTATTTCAGGTTCAAAATTAGAGGCGTATAAAATGAACATCTCAGATCAATATGTTGCCCCCCCCCCTTTCACAAGTCACTGCCCAAGAGGCCTTTCGTTATACCAAAACTCATAAGTTGGGCTGAACGATGACAGACAAAAGATTACTTGTGTCTATTCTAATCCTATAAATAATGAATAGTTGCTCTCGTTGGATTCAAAAGTAAATACTAATTTTTAGGATTATAAGTTTTGTTTCTCTTTTTATATCATATGATATAAAACATCTCTGATGTTTCCTCCTCCTCAGTTTTAGAGTAAACTATTTCATTATTTAGAATTAGATATTTGAATTGTCATTAAGAATGTATCAAAGAGAACTCAGTGATGTACTTTTAACCAAATATGTTATGTCACAGTTAAATGCTCTTTTCTTATCCTTGAAATTATGTGAAAATATTTAGCTCTAGTATTGCATTTAATTTTGACACTCTGAAATTTCATAAGCTCTAAAAGTTTTACAAAACCTGCAATATATCATCTTTTTGTTAATCTACACTGACTGGTAACCCTATTAATGAAGACCCCTACTTCATGTTGAATTGCATTAATGTTTGCTCTGATAATAGCTTGGATCTTTGATATGTTGGTAGATGTCTTTTTTAACAGTTAGCCCGTACCGAAGAATATGATCTGCAATTAGATCATAATATACTGTAGAGGATTAAGCAGCAAATGCTAAGTTCAGTCATTCCAAGAGAAGAGTTTAGGCTCGAAACTTTGTCAATTTAAAGTTTTCCTAGATTTTATTACCATCGTATCTAGTTATTCTTTTGTTTATTATTTCTTCTGGGCGTTTTTTTTTATATATTTTTTGTGTCTATATGGATTACATTTGGATTGATCATGTTGACTGCTACATCACAAGTTTTGTTTTTAAAATCCGTCGAATAATATGGTTGAAAACAGTCGAATCCTGAGCACTGTTAAAGCAATCAGTTAACTGAGATATAGCTCGACGTCAGATACATTTTACAAGCCTATTCGATTGTATTTTCCTTGGTTTTATTTTCCAGTGATTGAAACATTTCCTTTCGATTGCACTTTGATGGCTTTTCTTTGACCAATCTAGCTACGTGAAATTCAGAGAGATTATTGTTCTTACAGACTGAACATGTTATAAGTATATCTACGTATTCGAGTAATCACCCGACACATCACATGGTCAGTCTATTTTGTGTTTGCTGTGCAGAGAAGCGAAGCATTCTATAGATATTTGTGTGCTCTCTGTAAACAAGTGGGGTGTTATATAAATCTTTGTGTTTACTATGCAAAGAATTGAAGAGTTGTACAAATCCTTGTTTGCTATGCAAAGAAGTGGAGTTTTCTACACATTTTTGTATGTGCTAAGCAAATAGGTAGTGTTATACAAATTTTTGTATGTGCTATGCGAAGAGGCAGAGTGTTCTACAAAGCTTTGTATGTGTTATCTAAACAGGTAGTGTTCTACACAATTTTGTATGTGCTATGCAAGGTTTTTGTTTGTGATATCCAAACTCATTAAACCACATGATCTGTAACCAACCTAAATATTTATAAAATAGAAATTACGAATTAATTTCCTTTCTGTTTCAGCTTGGCTTCCTTGGTTGGTTTGGAAAATACGACTATAGATGTCAACCTGTTGACTACTCTGATCATCCTGATGCAGCAGAAGTAACTTTCTTGTATCTTATTTGTTTGTTTTTCACTTAAAATTCTGATATCAAGTAAGGTGACGTATCCAGGATTACCCGAGAGTGGGAGGAAGTGAGGGGCAGGGTCCAAATCAGATGGTTAAATCTACCTGGCTTCGAAGTCTACAAGTGTTAATAATGCATGACCAATTAGAAACTTCACAAAGAATATTACGAAAAATTGGTAACTAATCATCATCAGTTTGCCAAAGAAATATCCACTTCTAAAACTGCACAATTTACGGAATCTTTATAATGAAATGTCAAAAACTGATGTCAATATTTGAGAATATACCGCAAACTCTTGTCAACCAAGAAATCTCCATCCATTCTCACCTGGATACGCTTCTGAAGTAGTTCTGTAAATTTAAACGTAGAATATTCTTGAAGTTTGAAAACGGAGTTATAAGTTATTGAATTTACGCATTACTAAAACTCACTTTCAACGTTTCGACAGTGAACTATAAAATCTACATTTATTTATAATATTAAATTTAATGTATATTATTTAATAAATTCGGTGTTTAAAGAAAAGCTAAGTAGTAACACATCGAAAAGGGAGTGTGATAAATGTTGTAGAAACTATAAGGTCACTTACGAATGGAGTTGGCTACTTGCGCCGCACCTTCGCCTTGTCACTACTACTTTATTGTAAACTGAAAAATACATTTAACCCCTGACCTTTATATTTTAGAACACATTTAATTTCAGATTATTTACTTCTCTGTCTTCATATCTCTCACTACTGTGGGGTCCGCTTATTGCATCAAATTGGGTAATGTTATGTTAAAATATACAGTGTAAAGAACTGAACAAATAAAAAAGTGAAATCACTAAAAGGCATAAGATATCCAGCAATAATACCCCCCCCCCCTCCTCCAGATGGCTCAGGGTTAGTTATAACGTTAAAATTCGGCTTCCGTTGCTTATAGGGTGCACAGCACAGATAACTTTTTGTGCAGCTTTGCACTTAACAACAAACACACCAGCAGTAATTATTGGAATTAATTGCAAGACCGATGGTATTTTTTACTTTTTTTATGTGTGTTTGATATAAACTTTATAGGTGGTCGTTTAAAAAATATAAGTATTTCGGTGCATAAATGGTTTGAAGAATGTGTTGCTATGGGTCGATAATTAAGGTAGAGAAATGTCAAGTGGCGATTTCACTCATTGCTCTATGACTTTACCTTTTGAACATGGCACAGTAGCCACCAAATATTTGCATTTATATTTTCACACATTACCACTTCCTCTTCACGCGTAAAAAAAAAACAACTAATTATTGTTATTATTGTTGTTTTTGTTGTTGTTGTCACCAAATATATATGTATTTCCTCTGTGGTATATAATATTGCTCTGTGCATTCCTTAGTAATATCAATATTATTTTAGGTATCATTTTAACACTGTTAAAACATGCACATGCTTTTGTTTTGTTTTCTTAGATGACCCATGTAGCTTGGTGGTATTACGTCTCCAAGTTTGTAGAATTTTCAGATACGGTAAGCTACACGTGTGTAAGTTCAAAGTTCTTTAGAAACACTGTAAGTGACGTGTGTGCAGAAATAGATTTTTTTGAAAATACCACAAGTCGCTTTTGTGTAGGTGAGGTTTCTTTGGAAGCACGGTAAGTGACATGTGTAGATGAAGGTTTGTTTGGAGTTATGATAACTCACTTGTGTGTAAGTGTATGTTTCTTTGGAAGCACGGTAAGTGACATGTGTAGATGAAGGTTTGTTTGGAGTTATGATAACTCACTTGTGTGTAGGTGTATGTTTCTTTGGAAGCACGGTAAGTGACATGTGTAGATGAAGGTTTGTTTGGAGTTATGATAACTCACTTGTGTGTAAGTGTATGTTTCTTTAGAAGCACGGTAAGTGACATATGTAGATGAAGGTTTGTTTGGAGTTATGATAACTCACTTGTGTGTAGGTGTATGTTTCTTTGCATTTTCAGTAAATATTTTAAGTATGTTGTCGCTTTTAAAACAGTTTTTCTTTGTTATAATTTTTAAACATGTTTTGAAAAAGAAATTAAATATTCTTTGATTACTTTTATGCCAGTTTGTGTTAAAAGTTTACCCTAGATTTAGTCTTGTGGTCTGAGTTACCCACAATGTTATACTGATCTGGAAAGTTCGAAGAATATAGCTATTTATCGCTATTGTTGAAATATTCTCTCGAATAATTTGCTTCTAGTAATCAGGAAGCTATGTCATTGAGTCAATAAGTCGTAGAATTCACAGTCTGTTCCTAAGTTCTCATTTAATGTTTCACGTTAAAATATAATCAGCCAGTGAATTCAGTGTTTGGCGTATCATACTGTCAGCGAAATGGTCAAGGTAGGCTTACTTCTATTCTATAACACAAATTTAGTAGTATAGAAGTGTGACTGCTGGAACAGGTTAGTTGTTTTCGATAACTCTGAAAAAGTGTAGTTTTATTCAGTTGTTGTGTTATATAAAAGACACTTTGTGCAAGGAATGCAAAATATTTGTGTTATTGATACTTCTTTGATAACGTTCCTAGTCAAGTATGTCAGTTGTCCTGATACATAGCAATATACAGTGTATAATACCAAACAAAGACTCGACAGTGCAACCTTTGCTACAAATAGGCCCATCCTCATTCAATTTACATGTGTGTCCCATGTTGCATTGAAGTTTAGGGTTTATAAAAGTCAGATGCTGCCACAACCAGCTATTTGCAGTCAATATATTATGAAAAAGGGAATTTACAGATCTTAAAAAGGAATAGTAATTGGATGAAGCATTGGTGGTATCTCTATTCGAATCATTTCTTTTACCTACTCATGTCCATATTCTTTGTACTAAACATGTTCATGGAAGGCCATGAACATGTTGACATGAATACCTGCTCAGTTGCTCAATGAGAACTTGGTCCATGAGAACTTTGAAACGAGTTGTGAAATGGAACTGCTCACCCATCCTTGAATATATGACTCAAAACTCCAGGAATGCAGGCCATCACAAGGCTCCAGGACTGCAGGCCAGCACACCAGCTATGCACAAAAATCTCCATGCTGCTGGATTTTAGAGACGGGCTACAGCCCGTAAGCCACTCATCACCATCGTTGATGGTGATAACACTAAATTATTTGATTCACATGGTCAATGATAGACAAATTGGGTACAAATAGTTCATAAAAAAAGCAACAAATGGTGATAAATATAGTCAAATACGTTATATAAGAGTGAACGTTGAGGTTCAGTATATCACATCTTGAGCGACAAAACTGGGGAAAAGAAAAATGAATAACCGTTAAGTGGAACAATGAATCCTGCTCCTTACTGTTTGCTTCAAGTACATGGGACTTGATTTAATGACAACCCAGAGAATGCTTTGGATTTGCCTGTGTTGCTCTAACTATGAAGAAATAGGGGTGAGATTACGGCATGGGCTCGTTTTAGTTGATTTTGATTTTGTATACGGTAATTAAGGAAATCACGATTATCTCATCATCTTACAGCATTCTGTAGAATGCAGCAGTTTTGCATCTGTGGAATTCTACGGGGAAGAACTATTCATTTTTCACCATAATAATGTAGCGTATCATACAGTACTTTATATCAAGAAGTGTATAAAATAATAACACAGAATCTGGTGTAGTCAGTTCAGAGCCCTTATCTGAATAACATATTATTTCTAGTGCATTTTGGAAAGCAAATTACGGAAAGACTTTGGAATATCACTACATTTGGAGTTTGTAAAAGGAGTGGCGGTCCATTCCTACAGGCTTGTGTCAATGGTTGATGGGAAAATCCTAGAAAGACAGTATAAGCTAAGATTAATGGTGAAACACGACACGTTTTTTCTCAGTGTGTGCTGTCCTACTATTTCTAACGATATAATGTGCATCTAGATATTAATTACTAAAATGAATGATTTGCAAGCCTGCAATAACTCTATTTTCCCAGTAATTATATGAAATTGTCTCCTTATATATGCAACTAATACCGCATATAAGTATTTTATATTTAGTTACATTTCTGTTTGTTTGTTTCAAATCTTGGTGCAGTTATTTCAGTCAGTTTATATATGTAGAAATTTATAGGAATGAAAGAGTTGTTAGGTTGTTTTTTATTACCACATTTCACGTAGATAAGTTACAGACGACAGGTAATAGTTGGAAATAAAGCTAGGGCTAGGAAGATATTAGTCCTCTTTGTGATTTAATCTGAATAGACTGTTATTTTAAATTTTATTTTACAAATTTCATAGGTTGCAATATTGATATCAGGGGGAGACAGGAACCAAAAGGGAGTACTTATTTTGTTGTTTTTGTGAAAAACTTTCTTTACTGTAAAAATATTATCAATTAAACCTCAGATTTGATTTTTAATAGTTATCATTATTATTAATGTATATTGGAAATAACTGGTATAGCTTTCAGTTGTTATTATATGAATTCTTTGTTTCATGTTCAATTTATTATGATTTTGTCTACTCATTCCAACTGTCATTCCTAACAAATGAGCCTCGGAAAGAGTTAGAAGATATAGTTAATTTTTTTATTACATAAAGAAACGTTTATTAGTAAACAAAAAAAAAAAGAAATTTGATTGACTCTTGCTACATCTTTACAGATTTTTTTCGTACTGAGAAAGAAGTTCTCTCACGTATCTACACTCCATGTAATACATCATGGAGTTATGCCTGTGAGTGTATGGTGGGGAGTTAAGTTTACTCCAGGTAAGTTGTCTTATAATGAGTGGTACTGAATGTTTACTTGTTTGTTTTTATAATTATTCTAATCTGCTCAACAGCAGCGTGGACATGGGTCAGTTTAAAACATATTTGTGATAAGTTGATTCAGGGAAAATATTAGGAAACTAATATTGTGTACATAGACAGCTTAGCATATTTTATTTACCTTTCAGATAAAGTAAACACTTAGGTAATACCTCAAACATTGATCTTAATTGTAGTATCGGTCTATGAACGGCTAATTATTAAATACAAGGGGTGGTAGGTTAAATGTGGCTTCCAGTTATGAGCAGACAAGGAAAGAAGAAGAAGAATTATACAAGGAAGCTAGAACTACGTTTTTCTGTCATTTAGAGCTGTTAATATCGAATATGTTTCAAAAGATTTAATAAGCTGTTCCACAACAAATAGCTTGGCGAAAGTGTTTGGTAAAGTAATTAACAGTTGGTTAAGGATCTGATTGACAGGCGGTGACGTACCAGTCACCAAGCTACTTACAACTTGGTCAGTTTGTGAAGAACTTTGTAAAAAATGGTTTTGGATATTTCTAAGATTTTTATTGCTTAAAAGTTTCTTTAGAATCCTTTAGAATTTGACTATCATTAGAAACAAGATTATCTGAATCGTAAACGTTAACGTTTACATCTAAACTAAAACAACACGGTTAATAAATTAACCAAACTCAATCTACTTTCTTCACGATAGTAGAAATTAAAAATATTATTTCTGGAAATGATTAATCTTTTTTTTTTTAAATAGTAGAAGAAAGAATTGTGAAAATAGTGAATTGTTTGTTATTTTCGGCTTTCAAGCGATGCCAGCTAGAGTGGCTGCTGTATGATATTGCGACATATCTTTTTATCCTTTGTAGAATACATTCCAGTGTATAATTAATAATTTGTAACCATTATTAATAATTAATCTATTCCAGGAGGACATAGTACATTCTTTGCATTCATCAACAGCTTCGTTCACATTGTTATGTATATCTATTATGGGATAGCAGCTATTGGACCGCATATGTACAAATATCTGTGGTGGAAAAAGTACATTACAACCATTCAAATGGTAGGTAATAGTTGGAAATTAAGCTTAGGAAAAGAAGGTATTAGCTCTCTATAGGTATTACTCTGAGCATATTGTTATTTTAAAATCTTATTTTTATAAATTTCTTTATTATATTTACAAAGTTTGTCAAGATACTCACAAAATATCATTATCTCAGCAAACAAACGCTTTGAAGACAATTTATAGATAACAGATGGCAGCACCGACCAAAAACTAAGTTGCTCAGTAAAACTGTTCATTGATTAAACAAAAGAGGTATAAGTTATTACAGTGCGATTTCCCCAAATGGAGACCTAGAACTTGCTGGAGGAATCACCTGTTTTTTTTTTTTTACAGTGGTGCATTGTCTCTCAGTTAGTCAGTAAACACTAAAATGACGTCACATAAGATACCCTTAATGTTGCAATTTGTACTGTGCGCATGCCATGAATCACGAGAAGAGTTATGCACTCTATAGGCTACAACACAACATTACATATGAATTTCAAAAGCAAGAAATAAAAATATTTGTTGCTATTAATTTTGGTTTTATTTACTGTTGAAGCAGAACATTATCGGGGACCATGCGGAAGTACACCTAGTTTATTCTATATATTAAATTTGAATATAAAAGATTCGACTGTTTAATCATATTATCGATTGTATTTAATAAATACAATAATAAATAAATACAATTTATTTGTGTTAAAATACAAAACGTTAAAGGCTCCAAATCTATAAACTCGAGTAGGCCAAAGAGCTTCCTCGCTTCGCCGTTTTAAACATTTACACTTTAACATTTCAGATTAGTAACGGTCGTTGCAGATCAGGCCTAACTGATCATTGGTAATATAATGAAAGGCATTAGGGCAACAGATAAGGGGTAGATTTGATATTTCATTATATTATACTCTTCTTGTTTGAAATCCACAATAAACTGCAAATCATGAGATAAAATATTAACAGTTAAACTTCAAAATCGACTTTTTATAGAATTTTACTATTATTAATATTGTATATTTAAAATAACTCGCATATATTTCAGTTGTTATAGTGTATACTTCTCATTTCAGGTTCAGTTTGTTGTGATTTTTGTTCACTCATTCCAACTGCTTTTCCGAGACTGCAATTATCCTAAAGGCTTTATGTGGTGGATTGGTTTTCATGCGATCCTTTTTTGGTTTCTTTTTTGGGACTTCTACAAAAATACATACAAGAAACCCAGATCATATTTAAAAAAAAATAAAAATATCCTAAGTCATAAAAGTTTATCTACTAACAATAATAGAATTAATGTTTTGGTCCAAAAATATGGTATAAGCCTGAAAAATGAAACAAAACTCTCTAAGGAAGCATGACAATTAAGAAAAAATAACTGTCGTTTGGAGGTAAATTATAATAAGATTTTAATACGTTTGATTATTTTGTTTGAATGCTAGCTGAAAGGCACAGTTTTTATCAAAAAATCAAAATCATGGTACTGTGATAATATATGTATTTTGTATTTCAACCCAGTTGTTTTTACTGTTACTGATGCTGTTAACAAAGATAAGTAAGCTTTTTTTGTTAGTTTTGAATAACTCTTCTAATTAACTACTAAAGTTAAATTTCAACTGAGTTTTGAGAGAAAAGACTAAAAGTAGACAAGAGTTGGTATTTTCCAATCTCTCAATACCATTATATATTTTATGAGATTTGCATTTAAGAAAAACTATTTATCTTTATTTTAACAAAGTATTTTATTACTTATCTATGTAGGTTTAATGTACTTAAAAGTAATTACTATTTTTTTTAGAATAATCAAAATTAAATATTACGTGTTTAGTTTTATAAGCTTCCCGATGAGTCAGTGGTAAATTTGCGGACTTACAACGCTAAAATCTGGGTTTCGATTCATTTCAGTGGGCATAACGCAGATAACCCCGTTGTTAAAAATAAAAACAATAGACAGCAAGCAACAGTTTTATAAGAGGGAAAATATTTATCATATTGACTAAACGGTCGTAGTTTGTTCGAAACAAATGAACATGAATTTTTTGTTTTTGGTAACCATGTTTATGAAAATGTCTGATCTTTATAATTTAAATTGAAACAGAATAATGATGGATTTACATTAAATGTAAGTGAAGTTTTCGTTTTCACAGTGTACTGTTTATGTTAGTAGTTTCCACGAAGTTTGATAAGAGAGAAAAGTTTGCTTAACAATGTTTTAGTTTGAAGCTACAGTTTACAGTTTTTAAGAGTCTAATATTAGTTTCAAATATTGTGATAAAATGTTAACTTTTAGATATTTCTTAGTACATATTTGCATTCAACATTGTCGTAGAGGTCATAATCAAACTCTTGAAATAACTAATGAGCTTAATGGAGAATTGGCGGCGAATTTCACTTGAAAACTGTCACAATCTTAAATTATTGCAGAATGTGTTAATCTTATTGAAATGAATTATAAATGTAATCAACAGTAATGATATTGTCAAAATAAAACGAAACAAAATCAATGAGATCTCTCAATAATTCTATATTTTGGTCATTAATGAAAATCTCAACAGATTTTTGCCATTTTTCAAGATTAGCCTGGGCCAGACATGGTTTAGTAGTTAGAATGATCAGACCGTGAATCCGATAGATTGTGGTTCACGTCAAAACGTGTTCCGCACTTTGCGGCCACGGTTGCTATAAAAGTGGTGGTCAAGCTCCACTTTTCGAGTAAGCGGTGAGTACTTGCTTTTGACTAACTGCATTTTCTGAGTCTAATCTGTCAGCTCAAAATTAAGAACGGCTACGGGCAGACAGTCCTTGCTTAGTGCCAGTGGCACAGCGGTATGTCTGTTGACTAACAGCGCTAGAAACCGGGTTTCAATACCCGTGGTGGGCAGAACACAGATAATCTATTGTGTAGCTTTGTGCTTAACCACAAACAAACAAACCCAAAACCTAAAATTCGCCAGTTTAAACTTAAACACAAAAATTAAGTGAATCTAGATATGTCAGTTTTATTACTATCCTATAGAATATAAACATATATTTTTATGTAATAAGAGTTCCAGGATAGGCTTGATTAGTCTTGAAACTGTTTTTTAATGTATTTCTTAGTGAATATTTCTTGATTTGGTAGTAAAACTTGAGCATGTTTATATTTTCATTGTAAATGTCTCTTTACATTATTGTTTTCTAACGATTCATTGTGCCATTGTCATTGTAAGCTTATTGCAATTAATGATTTGAATCATAAAAGAAGGTGCCTTCTAGTCTACCAGTACTAACTTGTGTGTTCTAGTCTTATATTTTTCTTCTAGAAATTTTGCAAGCGGTTCCTAATAAATTCTACAATTGGTTATAAATTTATCACGTGTTCAACATTTTAGTATACTGCTTATTATGTGAAATAAAATAAAGATACTGCCATAATAGTCTGTTTTGTTTGTTCATTTCCTTTTGAAAGTGGCTTGGAATAAAGCGATTTTTTCAAAAATAACATATTTTTAAATTTGTTTTTAAAGTTTTCAATTTAAAATTATATTCCTATTTTACAAAATATAAATTACTTTTTAAATTACCTGAAACTGAAACTTCCTTCATAGAATTTCTTGTAAATGTCCAATACCAATAATCCAAAAGCTAGTATGAGCATTTTAAATCAAATATTTTGTTTTATCTTTTTAAAGAGATTCCGTCTTCATTAAATTAACACAGGGGCCCCCAGTGGTACAGCGTTATGTCTGCGGACTTACAACGCTAGAAGGATTTCGATACCCGTGGTGGGCAGAGCATAGATAGCCTTTTGTGTAGCTTTGTGCATAACTGCAAACAAACAACTATTAATACAGGAATAACATTTTGGTACACCAGAGTTTGTCTTCAATCTGGTGAAATGTAAGTTTACTAAAATGTTATTTCTCGGCTAATTCTATCAAGCTAGTCTCCGTGTTAAAAGCAAACTTATGAACCAAATGCTACCACACAGATCGCAAAAAATAACATGAGGATTATTTGGGTAACCAATCATCAATCAAATTTTAACTCAAAATCTTTTAAAGAGCTCGTCAAGAAGTGTATGTTAACCAAGTAACGATCTGCTTTAAGCTTTTAGCAGTCTTAACAATGAACATTAAGTTTACTTATTACCATCATCTGATTCATGAAGATTTAAGATACGTTTTATCAAGTTGAAATGGTCAATTGATTTGTATTGTGTAAAGAACGAATATTTTGGTCGAATACGTTTCTTGGGAGATCAGACGTTTAATAACACATTTCAACGCCACATCAAAGTTCATTTAATATAGTACTGTTCTTTAAATCTTTTGCCTTGGATTCTGTAATTACACAAGCAAAAGGTGGTGTATTTGATATGCATTTCCCTCAATGACGTAAAAGACATGTACAAAATCAATATATTTAACAAATATTAATTACATCTTGCACTAGTACAAAAACAAAACTGATTACGTGTATGAAGGATTCCTGGGAAGCCCTAGCTAACTTATACCATTCGAAATCCAAGTATATCTTAAATTTTTTGATCAAAACTTTGAAATGCTACATTCCAAAGATGTTTTAAAGTGATGTATGTGTAAATTCATTCTGTCCATACCTTAGTTTAAGTGCTCTTATATAGAAGAACGCACTTAAATATTCAACCAAGAAATAAATTATTGTGAATTGCTATTTGGTGTAAACAGTAAAATTATATTATTAACACTTGTATGAACTCTTCCTATACAAGAATGCAACTGCATTATTATAGAAGAAAAATAGTGTTTTTTTGTTTCTTACAAAGCTGCTCAGTGGGCTATGTGTGCTTTAACCACATTAAATATGGAAAGCACATTTTTATTCCCATTGTTTCTTGACCATGAGTATCAACATTGTAATAAATGAAAATCGTGAAATATGAATATTAACAAAAGTAATTTTATAATATTTAATTTCAATTTACGAAAGTATTGAATTTTTAATTCTGTTTTAATTGAATTGATAATATAAAATTCAGTAAAATGCCCCCCCCCCCAAAAAAAAAGATGTCAGCTCAGTTTCATCATAAAACATTTCACAAAATTGCCATAGGGATCAAAACGAAAATAATTGTTATCGTTTACGATGTTACGATGTTTACATAAAAAAGTCCCTAATGGCTCAACGGAAGTCTAAAGGCTAAAAACTGGGTTTCAATACTCGTGATCAGTAAAGTATAGACAGCTCATTTTGTACCTTTGAGTTTAACAACAAGCAACATTTCGAAATTGGAATAATAAATAACAGCAATATAATCTAAGTTTTAAATAAAAACAGCTTCCGACATAAAACTTTACAACACTATGAAAAAAAAAGACTAGGAAGCTATTTATTGGTTTAGAGGTAAGCTTCAGAGCTTATATTGCTAAAGTTCAGAGTTTGATCCTCGCGGTGGACAAACATTGTGCAGCTTTGAACGAAATAGAATAAGAATAAGGCAATAGTCACACTGGATTTGTTTCTAACAGTTTCGGTTCAGTTCGTTTGCTTTGCCGAATGTGATAATTGTTCACACTTTCTTTGTGTGCAGACGTTTCAAGTTCGTTTGGAAATGAACTGGGTTTTGTTTTCATCGTTCACTTCCATGTGATGTCAGCACTCCCTGAGACTTCAAACATTCGCATTAAAGTTTTTCAAGCGAAACAATATCAATTCTTTAGCCAAACGGACCGAAACCACTTCTTCTGGTGGACTAAATTAAATTCGGTTCGTTTGGTGATTGAACTTTGTTGTGTATTCGAATCGAACCGTATTGAGTACCAAAAAAAAAAAGGCCCAGTGTGGACAGGCTCTAAGATACCAGAAAGGCGCCATCTATCAGATGAAGAATATATCAGTAGATCATTTAGTTGACATAAACCGTTTAGTCTTCACCAAGTTAGAAGCTGGCAAGTGTTAAACTGAAACAATTATAATACAAAAGCATAATATATTTATTTAGGTACCAAGTAAAGAACTAATTTGAAATTGCAGAGTAATTCCAGGATCCGTAAACCATCACTAAGCAGTCTTAGAAAGAAGATATATTTACACTGAGTGGTCACAAGTAAATAGACACCTAATTTGTGTTCACAGAGCACTATATAAATGAAAATGGTCCGCACACTAATTATCTTGTGCTACAACAAGCCTAG